AGAGCAAAACTGTGGCACCGCAAGTCAACTTGCATTCGAACTTCCTAGAATTCTTCCGGGAAACCAGCAGCGATCACTTCCTAAGAGTCAAGCGTTGGAATTTCCCTGACACCACTTTTGATTTTCTTACCATCTTCATTTCAGATGAAGGAACGAGTTCAGAAAAGTTCAGTTTGTTCATCCCACTGATAAACACCGGGGGTGGTGTTTGAACCCGTCAGAATTTGTCTGACTTTGCAAGTGCTATGCTTAGGAATGCAAGAGCCGTAGCAATCACCTGGTCCACCTGGTGCTCCTCATTCTGGAGCTGAGTAAGACAAGAGCTTATGTCAAATGACTTCCCCAAGCTCGCTGATCCTTTGCCCAACAGCTGGGGAGATTCAGCTGGGCAACAGGTATCTATCTGCCCATAGGTTTTTGCTGTAGTAACTTCTCCCTTCCTCCAAATGGCTTTGCTCTTTTTATTGATAATACTGCATATGCTCCTTACTGACTGAAACCATTTCGAAATTCTTCATAGATGGGGTATAAATTCTAAATAAAATAAGGAGGAATATTAGGTCCTAGACTAGAACTCAGTTTCTTAATTCAAATCTGGGACTTTCTCAGTTATAGCACGTGGCCATCTACCAACACCTGCAAAAGATGAACAAAACTAAGAATGTAGCAGGTATCCTACACATGAGGAGTCTTGATACAGTGCTATAACTTCATGTATGCTCTCCTAATATGGCTTCCATTTTCCAAGAAAAATCCTTTAGCCTCTAATCCTTCATTTTACACGGAATGCGCACCTTTTAGGAACCAAATGAGAAAAGTAACCAATACTTATTTTTTCTTAATAAACATTTATTGTGTGCTAAAGGACTTATCTGCATTTTATCTCATTTAACCCTTACTGCAATATAATGGATACTATTATCCTACAGTTTTCAAGCAAAGATCCTGCCACAGTCCTCACTAGCAACAACAGACTTCAAAATACAATTATGATGGTCCACAAGGGAACCTCAAGTTAAATACAGGGAATGACCTCCTGGAGCATTAATATTACTTGATTATCATTTAAAACTTTCAAAAAAGTTTTTAGCAGGAATTTAGTATGAAGTAGAATACAAAATTCACACGGATTTTTTTTTTTAAGCTAAAACAAGAGATTTGAAAATGTCATGCCAGGCAGTGGCGTGGAAAGCAGCTTGGGGCCATGTTCTTCTGTCCCAATGAGTACCTGCAGTAGGAAAGTTTGAGGCGCAAACTAACAAGCTAACAAAATACTGTGAGGAAAAAAACAAGTATTTAATGCCTCCTTGTATTATTCATTTATTAGTTAGTCCCATTTTCCCCTCACGCATTATATATATTATCTATATTTAAACCAAATGGAATGGCAATTTTTTCTTCAGACATAATAAATATTCCTGAATATGGAATTTTAAAAATATCTTCTAGAAGATTGATTTTGACAAATTTGGGGGAGTCCCTTGGTCATTCCTTTCCTTGTAGGTTGCTCTGTCCTACACACCACATATTCACATCCACAATTTAAAATTTTCTACCCCACAAAATATAGGTGAAATTAATTTTAATATATTTTCTTCAACCCAATATACTATAGTCCCCCCATGCTGCATCCACGGGGAAGACATTCCAAGACCCCCAGTGGATGCCTGAAACCATGGATAGTACCGAACTCTGAAGGTATTCCTTTTTTCCTATACATACATGCATATGATAGTTTAATTTATAAATTAGATACATTAAGAGATTAACAATAATAATATAGAACAATGATAACATGCTGTAAAAGAAGTTATGTGAATGTGGTTTCTCTCTCTCTCTCAAAATATCTTACCGTACTATATTCCCCTTCTTATTGGGATAACGTTTGATGATAAAATGTCACATGAGGGGAGGAAGGGAGGTGAATGACTCAGGCACTGTGACCCAGTGCTAAGCTACTACTGACTTTCTGAGGATGTGTCGGAAAAGGAGGATCATCTGCTTCTGGCCCATGGTTGACCGCAGGTGACCGGAACCACGGGTGTGGGGCCAGGGGGTTACTGCATGCAAAATATTAGCATTTCAACGTGTAATCAATATTAAGAAGTTACCAGGTTACTTTATTCTTTTTTTTTTATACCTAGTCTTCAAGATTCAGTGTGTATTTTGCACTTACAATCCCGCCCAGCCACACTGCAAGGGCCCAACAGTCATACGTGGCCAGTGGTGACCGCAGACGGCAGCTCTAGAGCTCAGAGTCCTCATCACTCCAATATCTTCATTTTATAGATAGGAAAGCTGAGGCCCAGAAGGAGAAAGTGAGTCTCTAGCAAGTTCATAGCATGCCAGACTCCCAGTCTAAGGCTCTTCAGGAGTCTGTTTTTGTGTGATTGTTACTATTTTCTTGAAGCATGTGTGCTGTTTTAAAAGTAAAGCAACTCCTGATTAAAGGAGCTACAACTTCTGGAAAAATGTTACCGAGGAGCTATTTCCTCAGTTCTTTAAGAGGACTGATTCAAAACTCAGCCACCAAACATGCACCGGCTATCAACAAGATCGGTTCATTTAATCCTTCTTGAAGGGGAACATAAAGTTGACTAATCCTGTGCATCCTGTACAGTCTGAAAGTTCTGGCAATCATCAGCCTAACGGCCATTCATGCAACTTACAGAACAAGTTAATAATCAGAATTCAAGAGCACACCTCCCTCTAGAGGAGCAAACGTTATTGCAGGGACAATGAACAGAATTCCGATCATGAAATTAAAATGGCACACAGTAAGAAAAAGATGCCTTATGATTCATATAAAGAGCAAACTTGCCTTGTGGTAACTGGCACCTTAACCCATTGATTGTATCTTTAATAAACAAACTCTTTTAAGAGATGTCATTCTAGTCTGGTCCCTTGGCTTTGAAAGGTCTTTTCTCAGTCACTGATCTGCTACACTTTTTAAAATAATGGAATTGTGAAGAAGAAATCTTATGACTACCTGGTCTGACTCTTTGAATCTACAGATGAAAAATTTCCCCCCAAAGGAAAGTGACTCACCCTTTCCCCAGCCAAGAGAGGGTTCCCCTCGAGCAAGCCTTGATGATGTTTACATGGTGGGGCAACAGGAGACAAGCTCCCAATACTATTGCCAACACTGGTATCATTTAATGATAAACCAGGCTGGGCAAGACCAAATACGTAGTTAACAAGCATGCCAATGTCCTGTGGCTAGTATACTGTTTTATGCCGTTTTGAAGAAAAGGATCAGGATGGTGCTTCACCGTGGAAGTTTGTCAGCCTCTCAAGTAAGCAGGGGTCTTGTTTACACTCAGAACCACCTTTTAAGATAAATTTATCGAGCACTTGGGTGGCTCAGTCAGTTAAGCATCTGCCTTCAGCTCAGGTCATGATCCTGGGGTCCTGGGATCGAGTCCTGCATTGAGTCCCACATCAAGTCCCCTGTTCAGTGGGGAGTCTGCTGCTCCCTCTGCCCCTCCCCACCACTCCTGCATGTTCTCTCTCGCTCTCTCTCACAAATATAAATAAGATAAATTTATCTTAAAAAATCTAAGTCTATATTTGGGAAAAGATGGCAAACTGTGTGAATCCTAAGCCTTAGTTTCAAAGACTCCCACTGTCATACATTATGGTGATTTGGGATTGAGCACTTTGGAAAATGGTCAAATGGTCTCACATGGTCAAAATCAAAATAACAATCTAGTTTAAAACCCATCAGTTCCATTGGCTTGAGTGCTGCGGGGGCAGTGATGTGGCCTACACACAAAGCTCAGGTCAGCCACCTTAAAATGGACGCCACTGGTCAGGGGAGGGCTAGAGAGAGTACAGATGAGTCCACATCAACTCCTACTTTTCACTGTTATGAACATGAGGGGTGCGAATTGATGTAATACCCTCATTTTTTTTTTTTTTAAGAAACACAACCTATTAATCACATATATTTATTATTTACTCTCTTTCAGACAGCATGTTAGGTGCTGGGATAAAAAACTGAACAAAGGTAAAAATCCTTGTCCTCACGAAGCTTACATTCTAGTCAGAGTTTGGGAGCGAAGACACACGATACATACATAAGTAAATTCAATACGTAAGTTAGTTAGAGGAGCTCTAGAAAAACAATGTAGAGTCAAGGTAGTACAGGCATGTAGGGGCCGGAGGGAAGGGGGCAGATCGCAATTCCAAACAGACGGGTTAGGACAGGGCACTCAGAAGATGGCATCATATTTTACAACAAGAATCGGGTTTGGCAGAACTAAAACTTCCACCAGCCTTTGTTCAATATACAGGTTCTCTAACTGCATCCTACTAATAGCATCTGAATTTCGGAGCCAAAAGGTCATTTCAAGTGACACCAAGCGAGGCCAGCACCAGTAGGCATTACGATTCTGCCTAGACCTACCTACCTTTTTGGCCCACATGACTGAACCTTGATGCCTAGGCAAAAAAAAAAAAGGTTACTTAAAAATAGTAAGACAAATATACAGACACTACTACTATGTGACAAACACTGTGACATATTTTAACTCATTAAAAAAAAATGCTTTTTCTTATGGGAACTTTTATACATCGAAATATAATACAATGAATCCATACGCACCCATTACTCAGCTTTGGTAATTATTAATGTTCTGCTGATCTTGTTTCATCTACTGTAAGGATGGGGATAAAGATGGAGTATTTTCAAGCAATCCCAGACATCCTATTTGTTAGATGCATAAAGACTTTAGTCCATATGGACCACAATTTTTAAAATGGAACAATACCACTATCGTATCCAATAAAATTACAATTCCTTCCTATCATCTAATATCTACTCCATTTTAAATTTTTTTGTTTGTCTAACAAAAAAAATCCATTTTTTAAAAAATTTTATTTATTTATTTATCCATTCATTCATTCATCCATTCATTCACCAGAGATAGAAGAGAGAGGCAGAGGGAGAGGCAGATTCCCCGATGAGCAAGGAGCCCGACACGGGACTCGATCCCAGGACTCTGGGATCATGACCTGAGCCAAAGGCAGATGCTTAACCAACTGAGCCACGCAGGCATCCCAAAAAGTCCATCTTTTTACAACTGGTTTGGACTAATTGGGATCCAAACGAAGTCCCCAGCATTGGGACACGTGTCTCTTAGACTGCTTTCACGGTTTGCGACAGCTCTTCCTTTTTCCCTAACCGAACTTCTGACTCGGATTCGGCTGACCGATTCCTCCCAGCCTCAACTATCCCGTCCCTGTGAGCGGTGTATTCCTGTCACTGCTGATCACATCTGGAGGCTACCTGCATTTGGGTTCGGTGGCTTGTGCAGGAGGCAAGGTGGTTCACAGGTGGTTGTGTGTGCTTCCCCCTGCACCGCACCAGAAGCACCCACGTGCCGGCCTGTCCCCTTTCAGGGGCTGAGCAGTGGGCACCCGCCTCACCAAGCTGCCTGCCGCTCTCCTCAGCATCCTTCACACGAACTCTGTGAGGTAGGTACTGCTACCATCCCCCCCGCAGTCATGGCATTTGCCTACTTAATGGCACCAGGTTCTGAGAACTGAAGCCACCAACGCCACCAAGGGGCCTGCACCTGAGCTCAAACAGACCCCTTCCCACCTTTCTAAGTCCTGAAACATTCCCGCAGGGCCTTTCGGAACCCCTGGTCAGACACCAGCAAAAAGCCTTGTGTCCTCGGCGTCTCCTCTGAGGGTCCCCTTTTCCTTAGCCCATTTAAACCCCGGCTCTCCTGAGGGCACTGCTTGCCCTGCCCCCATTAACCTCATGTCCTCGGACACCGCTCACTTCCCCTCCAGGTGGCAGGCTTCGATGCCAGCCCCTCCCTGGCCCACTTTCCTTCTCTCCCTGAAGATTCAAGCAGGGCCCTTACTGACGCCCTAAAACGAGGCCTGTCCTAACACAGATGGCCCTGCCAAGCCCTGGTCTCAGCTCCTTGACCTTCCAGCCTTCAGTGCTTTTGTCTGCTCCCTTCCCGTGGCCCCTCACACCCATGGCTGCGCCTCAGATATTACACGAAGGGCAACCCTCCAAGAGCATGACCTTAAATATCCCATTCTCTGACCTCCTCTGTCTTTCCAGCTTCTGCACTCCAGCATCCTGACTCCAACAATTTTCTGGCCCCACCAAGGACCTACCACTTTTTCACTGACAAATCTAGAACCCCATGACGTTCACATACAGGATTTGTAAAGGCTAAAATTTCACCCAAAGACGATGAAGTTGATCAGCCTTTAAACAAAGCTATCAAGTAGCACTGACACATGGAAACCTCTCTAGAGAGCTAGAGATAGCTCTGCTCACACATTAAATGACCCTCTTACTATTCTGGAAAAAAAAAAAAAACCTGAGGACAAGGATTTTATGGCTGTGTGATTAGTCTAGCTGTAGGACAGATACGATATGACATCATAATCATGGCCTGCCAACACTCAAAGCAGGATGTGGAGTGATACAGAAAATGAAGGAAAGCCAAAACCAGCCAAGAATTCCACCAATTCAAGTTCTGGTTCTCCAAAATTCAAGTCCAAAGGTTTCCACAACACTGTCAACTGGGAACTGAGATCTCTGGAGGACACAGATGCAAGAAAGGCATCTTCTCCTTTGGAAACTAGCTTAAATGATTTGATACCCTGTACTACCATTTCCCCTGGGACAGTTTTTTTTTTTTTTTTTTAAAGATTTTATTTATTTATTTGTCAGAGAGAGAGAGAGCACACAAGCAGAGGGAGCAGCAGGCTCCCCGCTGAGCAGGGGGACCCTGGGATCACGACCTAAGCCGAAGGCAGGCAACACAAACTCAAAGGCTATGCAAGTTAAAAACTGCTACCAAAATGTAGGGAGTGTGATAACTTAATCCAATTCGAGAGACAAAACATAAAGAGCTCTTGCTTTATGATTACCCATGGTTGTAAACCGTGTCCATCTGATGTGGTCACAAAACACCTTTCCAGGAAACTAAACTTTGAGGAGCTGCTGATCCGTGCAACTCTTTCATCATCAAAAAGTAACCCCCAGAAATCAAGGTAGAGCTCTGAATGGGCATGGTCTCTACTTACTATGTGTACAACTAAAAATAGAAAACCTGTCAAGCTTTTTGAAAATGAAAGGATTTTAATGTCCTCACTTGGAGCCCATGACATTTGAGTTATCCTTAAACTGAACTTTTACCAGCTTCTAGAAGAATTTTTTTTTCCAACTCTTCATTTTCTGAGCCAAAAGATTAATGAGATCACAGCCACAAAACAGGATGGGCCTGTTACCAAGAAACAGCAAGCCACTTGCACCGAATTCAATAGAACATTCACGAAAAGAAGAGATGGTCTCAAACAACTTAGTACCAAACCATAGAGTTTTCCAACCTCTTGAGTCCATCTTCATCAAGCAGAGATAAAGCTGAAGAAAACCTGATGCCAGCCTAGAACCCCGGTTCCCATTTGGTCCGTGTCTCTTCACTGCAAGGCCAGGCTCAAACGCTGGGGCACCTGGGCAGGTGGAAGTTCTGTTCCCAAACTGCTTTATCAAAGGAAGAAGGACAACTACAGCAGCACAGAAGACAGCTCTAATTTTGTGCTTCAAAGAAAGGATCCCAACTTCTCACAGTAAACAGAAATCCTTACATTATTTGGAAGGATTAAATATCAACAAAATAGGACAGGAAATCAGATACATCTAGTGACAGTTATATCTCAGCCTTCAAGTCAAAACCCAAACCCCACCTCTCCAAATGGAAAGTAACTGTACAACCAATAGTGAATCCCTGGGCACTTCAAACCTGTCAACACTCAAAATTCAACTGCAACCAAAGTCAGCAAATAGTCCTCTAAGTTTGCCTAAGAACAGGGCTCCTTCTTCCAAGCCTTCCGGTGAGAAAGACACGAGTGGGGAAATATGGTTTCAGACAAGTTTGCCAGCAATATAAGCAGGTTACGAGTCCGTACGGCGTGCAGCCCAGAATCCAAACAAGGAGACGGCCTATCAGCAAGACAGTTACCAGAAGAATGTTCCTCAAATTAAAATCCCCCGACAGTCCCAAATTTTGGCATCTTACAAGCCACTTCCTCCCGGCAGCAATGCCAATGAGAATGTATTGTCCCTGTTATCATCTTACTGACATGACTTCTGCCCAAGAGAAATTGATTCCAGACTTTGTAATTGCATTAGATTCAGCAAAAGACAGCACTGAGGAGCTTGACCCCCTAAACACACCTTGTGCGAGAGTAAGACCAAACACGTATGAGAAAGGGAAGATCCTGAAGATAAAATCCCCAAACGTGTACAGGATTGCTAAATCTGTTTGTTTCTCTCTGGCTAACTGTAGAATATTTTAGAGGGGCTACTGTTGTATTTCATTGAAATCACATTTTGCATTTGGAACTTTTTAAAGTCAGGAGGAGAGGAGAGTATGAACATAATACATGTGACCTAGTATTTTAAAAGCTCAGCTGACTGCCCCCCCACCCCCGCAATAGCCCACCAACCCTCAAACCACCAGGTTCAAGCCTCAGTTTCAGGGAAACTAAGTTTATTTATAGCAATTTTTTCTGATGCAAGGGCTAAAACAGGTATTTCCAATATAAAATATATGGTAAGAAAAATTAAAAATTTATCATTTCTTTTGACTTTTGTGCTTTGTTGCAATGGAAGCTTACCCCCAATCCTGCTCCAGTCACATTCCTTCCCAACATGGGAAGTGGCAAGTGCAACAGTCTCAAGTGCTTGGGTCATAAACCCTGAAGCCATCCCTCACTTTGTCATACACCTCACATATTCCCTTAGCACATCCAGTTCACTCCACTGTGTTAAACTAGAATCCCACCTCTCTCTCCATGTCCGCTGCCACCATGCTAGACAGACCCATCACCAGCTCCCACGTGGGTTACTACAGTAACTTCCCCCCTGGTCTCCCACCCTCGCTTCCTACTCAGGTCTCTACGGAGGCCAGAGAGCGAGATCCCTCCAAAACACAAGTCAGATCATATCATTCCTCTGCTCAAAATCCTCTAATAGCCTAGCACCATGTAATCTCTTTCTTGGTCATGGGAGCCTCTTGTTTCTGGAACATTCCAGGCACACTTCTGCCTCAGGGCCTTCACACTTGCTGTTTGCTTTGACTGGAATACTCTTCTCTCCTGATACATACCTGACTCCCATTCTTCAAGTATTTGCTCAAATGTAGCTGCTCGGTGTGGCCTGTTTTTCAACGGCAAACTCCCACCTCCCCAGGCATTCTCTTTGTTCTGCATTATTTCTCACCACAGAATTTACCACCTACTGATACATTTTTATTTATTAGTTTAATGTCTTGCTTTCAAAATGTAAAGTACCTGAACGTGGTAATTTTTCAGTTTTGTTTACTGCTGTATCCCTAGCACCTAACACACTCAAATATTCGATGAATGAACAGAATAGGCCAAATAGCTGAATGTGAAATAGCTTATAAACTGCGATGTCTTCACTCAAGAGTAACAAAGATGAAGAGTAAGTGCATCCCAAATGAGCAGCAATGCACACAGAACAGTCGCAGTAGATGATTACTGAATCAACCACCAAATGAATTCTCTTAGAAACGAAACTCCCTTCCACAGAAACAGCGGCCCTAGGATCAAATGATTTCAGATGGGTCTCTGGCATGTACGAGCAAAGCAAAAACAATCTACCCAAGTCTGTCCAAAGTGCCTTTACACTTACATAAAGACTATGGATGTTGGTCACATTTAAACATTTATGATGCTTCGAAAAACATATTGCAGGAGAAAAAAATATATATAAAAATAAAACTGTATAAAGTTCTTCATTAAAATAGTAGTTTAAATAAATCCTCTGTCAATACCACCCAGAGGCAGTGAGTGCATCTAGACGGGGAGAGCTTAGAGCTTGTTACATAATTACACAAGAACACGTGAGCACACGTGAGCCCGTGTTCACGACACTGCCGTGAGAACCCCTTCCAGGCGCAGCTCACCGCGCAGGCGGGAAAAGCGACTGATGGAAGATTACTCTATGTCTCGAGTTCTGGTTCTATTTGCCCTTTTTCATCTTGGCTGTCTTCTCCTTCCTTTTTTTCACATGCTTCGGAATTTTGTTTTTTCTTTTCTCTCTCTGGGCTTCCTTGACCATCTTTTTTCTTTCCTGTAAAACAAAAACAAAAATAAAGGAACCTGCAGATTTCATTCCGAGTATTCATTTTACTATTACAACTAAGTAAGAAAACATATGTGAAAGGACAAAAGTGAGTATAACAGGAAAAGATGAAAATGATTAGGATGTGGTGGTGCAATTTGGTTCCAAATTTGTCTTTACGGTTTCTTAATAGAAATTTGAAGAGTGCCAAACAGAAATAACTGGGAGGACTATTAAATGTTTGCAACTACTTTTCTTCACAAGTTTCATATTCTAACAGAAATACAGGTTGGAAAGACAAAATATTTGCAGTAGACAAAGACAGAAAATGTGTGCATTAGCTTGGGTATGTCTCTCAGAAGTCTTAGGGCCCTGAACATTGTAAGGATTAAAGGCTTAAGCTAAGAATGAACAGTAACATTTACACAGCAATCATGTATCATTCGTCTCTTATGCTGATGGCTAGGAGTGGAATAAGTCTTTTAGATTCTGGAAACACCGACTGAGTTGCAAATCCCCTATGAAATGGCCTTTCAGTATTTCACCATGGGACAACTCCAACATCAATTGTGTTTCAAGTGAATGACAATCATTTCTAATCGATGAATTCAGTGTGTCCTCTCTCTAGGCAGTGCCCAGGGAGCTCCTAACAGAAGCCCAATCTCTACACAATGTGACCTCCAAAGGCAAAGTTCACACTTAGAAACTAGCACTACAACTAGAAGTACTTACTGATCAATAATCTTTTCAGCCATCATAATCTAGTAAATGAGAAACGAAACTGGCTTTGCTACCATGCTGAAGAACAAGGAAATTTGAGTTCTCGGCTCACCTTTTTATCAACTTCAACGTCAGCAGTGGGTTTCCTGGAGCAGGCCTGTTCTCTCTGCTCTTCTGAGTCTATGTCAGAACACTCAGAGCTTCCAGCATCTTCTGAATCAGAACAAGCCTTTTCCTTAGCCTGATTTTCTAGAAGTGCAGGAACCTTGAAAATATTACAAAAGCTATTCTATAACCACTTAGTCACCTATTGTTAAATGTGATAATGGTAGAATTCAGATTTTTCAGCCTTGCACGTATACGGTGAACAACTACATCCTGTACTGAAACATTGAGAACAACAGAATCAACATCAGGGAGGAAGCGTGGAAGCAGGGCATCGAGTGAGGCTCCAGAACACACCCAAATGAAGGAACTGTGGCTTCACTGGGTGACCCAGATCACTGACAGAACCAAGCTGGATTTGGAAGGAGAAATACAGATAGAAGTAAAAAATAAAGATTGATTTGGATAACTTCACAGCTATTTTCTTATGAATTGAATGTCAAGCAATACTTACTATTAGTCCAATCAAGAGGGAAAACAATATTTAAACAAGAGAAATTGCTTCCCCCCTCCCGCCGAAGTTCAGCAGTTTTTAAAGCAGCATGAAGCATTGTTTAAAAACAAGAGGTTTTGGGGGCGCCTGGGTGGCTCAGTTGGTTAAGCGACCGCCTTCGGCACAGGGCATGATCCTGGAGTCCTGGGATCGAGTCCCACATCGGGCTCCCTGCTCAGTGGGGAGTCTGCTTCTCCTTCTGACCCTCCTCCTTCTCATGCTCTCTGTCTCTCATTCTCTCTCTCTCAAATGAATAAATAAAATCTTTAAAAATAAATAAATAAATAAAATAAAAACAAAAAAATAAAAACCAAGAGGTTTTGGGTGCCTGCGTGGCTCAGTCGATTGAGTGGCTGCCTTCGGCTCAGGTCATGATCCTGGAGTCCCAGGATCGAGTCCCGCATCAGGCTCCCTGCTCAGTGAGGAATCTGCTTCTCCCTCTGACCCTCCTCCCTCTCGTCCTCTCTCTCTCTCACTCACTCAAATAATAAATAAAAAATCTTTTAAAAAATAAAAAACAAGAGGTTTTCTTTTTATAAGAAAAAATATCTTTAAAAGGCAATTGTACAAAAAGGTTTTCTAGCCAGTTTTCACAAAATCTTCATGTGCTGGAACTCAAGGCACAACTGCCCTATAACACGTACTATATGTAACACATACTGAACATGTGAGTTTTCCTAATTCAATTCTTCCAAAAACAAAGACACAGTAAAATTTCAAAAAGCAAACTATGATCCTTCACATTTAAGCCTTTAATTAAGAACATCCAAATAGGGATGCCTAGGTGGCTGAGTCAGTTAAATGTCTGACTTTCGATCTCAGGTCAGTTCAAGTCCCAAGTTGGGCTCCACGCAGGGTGTGCAGCCGACTTTATTATTATTTTTTTTTAATTTTATGTATTTATTTGGAGGAGAGAGAGAGAGAGAGACAGTGACTGAACCACTTAGACGCCCCGCATGGAACCTACTTTAAAAACAAAATAAAACATTAAAATAAGTAAGAACTGCCTTTATTTTTGCTTACATTAGAATTAATCCACACCATTCTAAAAATGTAAAACAAAACAAGAAAAAACACTACAGGAAGCCAGAACTATAAAACTGCTAAACCTGTGAGACTGCTCTGCAACAGGTTTTTTTTTAAAGATTTTATTTATTCATAAGAGACAGACAGAGAGAGGCAGAGGGAGAAGCAGGCTCCCCGCTGAGCAGGGAGCCCGATGCGGGACTCGATCCCAGGACCCTGGGATCATGACCTGAGCCGAAGGCAGACACTTAACGACTGAGCCACCCAGGCGCCCTGCAACAGGTTTTATACCAGTATGAGACCAGATTCCCTTGTTGTTTTTTTTAACTGTAAAAACACCAAGAAACACCTGGTTATCATTAATAATTTCATAAAGACCAGGATATAAAAAGCATCAATGCCTCAGCAAGAACAACAGAACAACTGACAGAAATAAACCACAAATTCCTGTATTTCAGTCTTATGGCTAAAAAAGTGAACACAAATCGGGCATTTCTGAAAATGCCCAAAAACTTCGGAAATATCTATACTAGTAATAATATTGTTAGTTTAATTCTAGTATAAAGTAGGTTTTATAGGCTTCAAAAGAGTATTCACGTAAATGAACATCAACACAAGTTCTCATACCTTCTGAACTCCAGACAGATCTTTCTTCAATCCTGTAACGGTCTGGTACAGAATCTTATTACCAAAAAGACGAAAAGAAGAATCAACATAAAGCTAAGCAGTGACAAACACACATTGTAATATTATGAAAGAACACTGTGGGCTAATAATCTTCTGTGATTATTAAGAGGTGCCTAAAACTTACCCCCTGGTTAACACAGAAAGTTTATAGCATAGGTATTATTCTTGCCCCCCGAGCACACAGGCATTAGCAAACTCTGGCCCACAACCCACCCACAGCCTGATGGTTTTTACAAATGAACCTTTGCCACCAATTTTATAAGAGAAAACTCTTAACTGTGATTCTCAATTAAATGGAATGTATTCTCCCCAAAATAACTCCATTCTTCTCTCATTATTAGGAATCATGAAAAGCTGTATCAATTATTATTAAAGGGCTTTTAATTTCTTCAATAAAAACTTGGGGAATTTTTCTTTTTCTTATTTTATAATGACCTACATAATAGCCTCCATTTTGCTTCTTTGCCTGCAAAGTCTAAAATATTTACTATCTGGCCTTTTCACAGAAAGAAATGTTCCAGACCTTGAAATATGTATGTTAATGGACCTAGTGTAATAACCATTTACAGCCCAGACTTTACACAAATCTTCCATTTTCTGCAACTATAGTCTATTGGACTCAAATGTGCCATTTTCTTTCACAAATACCAGTGAATTCCCTTTACATCCAATGTGCGCAGAAGACATATTAATGCAAAGGGAATCAGCCATCTCAGAAGATTAGAAGCCAACATTCAAGATGGCAGGTTTGGGACAGTAGCTTCCTCTATAAACTTGCTTGTTATATACAAACCAAGCTACTCACATTGTCTTGTTGGGCATTCATGGCCATATCTTCTTCCTTCAATTTCATCATTATATCCATATCCCTTTCATAGTTTTTTACTTCATTCAAGGTTCTAGGAATATATGCTCTCTTAAACACCTAACAGACACAGAGGAAAAGAAAATCAAAAGAGTTATTCACATGCTTCTCTCATTCCCTGAGCATCTCACACCCACCACGTCCGAAGACTCTGCCGTCATCTACAGCACGGATCCTCAGCCAGGCTCTGCACACACTGGTGTTGCTGTGCGGATCCCAAAAGGACTCTGTTACTAACGATAAAATGTGAAATGATTTGAAGTCCCCACTTTCCCCTTGTTTGCATTCCAGAAAGCTTTTCTGAGTGGGAAAGAAAGGAATGGAGTTGCAGTTAGCAAGTACTGCCCCCGGCTAGGCCTTACAAAGGAACATGTTCTTACATGGAAATATTATCTACCCTGTGCTATGGTGAAAAGGATTCAGAACTGCTGATAAATATAGGGTGCCTTATATTCATCCATCACACTAATAGCTCTGAGAATTTTTGATTAAAAGTCTACTATGGGGGGGCCTGTGTGGCGCAATCAGTTGAGAGACCAACTCTTGGTTTCGACTCAGGGAGTGATCTCAGGGTCCCGAGACTGAACCCCAAGTCGGGGTCTGTGCTTAGTGTCGAGTCTGCTTGAGATTCTCTCTCCCTCTCCCTTTGCCCCTCCTACTTGTTCTTTCCCTCTCTCAAACAAATAAATAAATCTTTAAAAAATACACTAATCCCCAAGATTAAAATAATTTTCTTTTTCACCACACATATTTAAAGTCTACAATGGTACCAAAATCAACATTTAAATCATTTAAAAATTCACATTTGTGAACTGAGATGGGTTTTCCCTTCTTGAATAATGTTTCAGTAGGTTCTTTAAAAATGTTCTCTATCTAAAGCATTATATGCCCTAAATTTCAAACTACACTACAAAGCTATAATAATCAAAACAGTACAGCACTAGCACAAAAACAGACACATAGATCAATGGAACAGAATAAAGAGCCCAGAAATAAACCCACGCATATAAGGTCAATTAATTTACAACAAAGGAGATACGAATATATAACAGGGAAAGGACAGTCTCTTCAATAAATGGTATTGGGAAAACTGGACAGCCACATGCAAAAGAATGAAACTGAACCACTATCTTACCATACATAAAAATAAACTCACGACAGAGCAAAAACCTAAATGTAAGACCTAAAACTTTAAAATTCCTAAAAGAAAAAGGCAGTAAACTTAAATACAGTCTTAGCAGTATTTTTTTGGATCTTTCTCCTCAGGCAAGGGCAACAAAAGCAAAAATAAGCAAATGGGGACTACATCAAACTAAAAACCTTTTCACAGGAAACAAAACCATCAACAAAAAGACAGCCTACTGAGTGGGAGAAGATATTTGCAAATGATGTATCTGATAGGCGGTTAATATCCACAAAATATAAGGAACTCGTAAAACTCACCACCAACAAAAAACAATCTGATTAAAAAATGAGAGGACCCGAATAGGGATTTTTCCAAAGACATACAGATGGCCAACACTCCCATGAAAACGTGCTCAGCATCACCGTAGAGATACAAATCTAAACCACAATGAGAGATCTCCTCACACCAGTCAGAATGGCTAGTATCAAAAAGAAGTAAGTGTTGGCAAAGATGTAGAGAAAAGAGAACCCCCATACACTGCTGGTGGGAATGCAAAATGGTGCAGCCACTATGGAAAAATGTATGGAGGTTCCTCAAAAAATTAAAAATAGAAATACCACAAAATTCAGCAATTCTACTTCTGGGTATTTATCCAAACAAAACAGAAATACTAATTTGAAGAGATACATGCACCACTATGTTCACTGTAGTATTATTTACAAGAGCCAAAATACGGAAGAAGCATAAGTGCCCATTAATAAAGAAAATGTATATATACACACACACACACAAACACACAATAAAATATTACTCAGCCTTAAAAGAGTGAAATCTTGCCATTTGTGACAACATGGATGGACCTCAAAGGTATTATGCTTAGTGAAATAAGACCGAGAAAGATAAATACTGTATGATTTCACTTATATGTGGACTCTATAAAAACAAAACAAATGAACTAACAAAACAGAAACAGACTCATAAATACAGAGAACAAACTGGTGGTTGCCAGATGGGGACAGGATGGGGGAATCAGAAGGGGATTAGAGGTATGAACTTACAGTTTTAAAATAAATTAATCACACATATATAAAATACAGCATAGGAAATATAGTCAATAACATTATAGTAACTATGTATGGTGACAGATGGTAACTAGACTTAGTGTGGTGACTATTCAGTAATGTACATAAATGCTGAATCACCGTGTTGCACATCTGAAAGTAATACAATACTGCGCATGAACTATTCTGCAAATAAGTAAGTAAAGCTCTCCATCTAGGACAATGGGCTAATAGGTTGCTGAGTGGAATGATGTAATGAAATGTAATTTATCCCATTTGGCTCAGTTAAATGATGTAAAAGGAAATATTCTCATCATCTGAAAACTGCTTCTCTCTTAAAATCAAGTTGGTGACCTCGTATGCCCTTAAAAAAACAAAAACTCAAAGTGTTTCCTACGGCTGTGGAAAGATAATACATCTTACCTCTTCGTCCACATGATCTTGGCTGGACCTTTCTTCCTTGGTCCTTTGAGATGCTATTTCCATGGCCTTGGAAAGAAATCAAAAGTTACTTTCCTTTATATTCAACCTACAGAAGATGCATCCATTTCTCAATTTTAGTATAAACCTGCTCTCACCTTTATCGGTATCACGTCTACACTTCTGAAAAAAGGATTCTGAGGCCTCCAATGACACAGGTTAGCTCTGTCAGATCTCACCAAAAAGGCTGCTATCAGCTCAAAAGTAACAGTATAAATCAAACCATTTAGCCTTGGGGAATCCCTACCCCTTTCCTCAAGAGTAAAACTACTCTCCTTAATTTTTTTTTTTTTTTTAAAGATTTTATTTATTTA